TTTTGTCACTTTCACACTAATTTATGTAGAGTTATAAATGGACCAAAGGTTTAGAAGCCAACTCGACTTTTAGGTAATTAATTCAGAGACAGTGTTTTTACTCTCAGAAAGTCTGGCGTTATTTAGTAGGTTTATTTTGAGCTGGAGAAGCAGTGACAACAAACAAGGGACCTCATGTTGATGTATAAGTGGATGCTATTCAAAACTGTTAACAGGATATCACCATCAGGAAAGCCTGTGTAGCACGGAAATAATGAAAACATAGGCCTCAAATGGACCTTATGCCAGTGTGGTAGTGTTAGCAGTGTCTCTAATGCCATCTAGTGGCTGTCTGATCACAGAACAACTTACAAAAACCAAACAAATTTTTTGTCAGCTTAAAAACTTAAAACATTATGTAATATATAAAGTAATATATTATATAATTTATTATATATTATATATAATTTAATATGTTACTTTTAGTTCTTATTAGAGTTTTTCCATTTCTGTAGTATCCCACTATAGTCAGTTTGGCATATGCTGATGAGCTTCAAACTACTCCCTGACTTCATCCTCCGCCTCATTCTGCCCACTCAAACTCAAAGAGATGAGAACATAGTAACAAGCAACAATGTCTGTAACAAAGTGTCCTAGTGTCCTTGTGCTGTTATTTCATTTTTTGCATAACCAGCTCTGTGTATGTGGTGTGTATTTAGTATGCACTATTACACTGCTGCCCTCCTACATCTCTGTGTGTGAGACAAACTGGTCAGTCACAACAGAAGAAAGACATCAACTACTTGCATCATATGGCTACTCTCCATCACTAGAAACACACAAATGATTAACAAACCATCACATCGTCTGTGGATAACAGATTAAAGTAAGTGTTGAAGGAATTTGTGTAAGATATGTTATTGAAAGGACTACATTTTGACTGCTGTGTAAATTTTCTGATACTACTTTATGTCTTAGCAAATTTGAAATGCGTCTCTATGAAGTTAATTTCCTGAAGTTGATTTCATCTTTGCAGCATAACTATTGGAAGAAAAAGAAAGCACACTGAGGAGAAGAAGTGCCTTTGAGGCAACTGCTGTTGTGATTTGGAGCTATATAAATAAAATTCAGTTGAACTGAACTGAATTGAAGGGACCCATACAAACAGCTTAAAATCCTTTTAAATGACTGGAATATAGTGGAGAAGAAAAGAAAAAAACTGAACCAGGGTATTTCAAAGAAAATATCACTTTTGGGTATTTTTTTTTAAAGTTTCATAAGCAACAATGGCATCAACAGGTCTTCAGCTGATGGGTTTGGTGCTGGCTCTGCTGGGTTGGGTTTGTGGGGCGCTGGTGTGTGCTGCTCCTCTGTGGCGTGTATCTGCATTCGTAGGTGGAGAGATAGTCATTGCCCAGGTGTTGTGGGAAGGACTGTGGATGAACTGTCTGTCTCAGACCACAGGACAGATCCAGTGCAAGACCTATGACTCCACCCTGGCACTGCCTATGTTTACCCAAGCAGCCCGGAGCCTCGCAGTTCTGTCTTTACTTCTCTGTCTTCTGGCCATCATCCTCGGGGTGTCAGGAGCCAAGTGTACTCACTGCATGGGAGACAATAACCAGGACTCCAAGGCAAGACTGGAAAGGATAGCAGGGGTGCTCTTCATTGTGGCTGGGCTTGCCTACTTGATACCCATCTGTGG